AGAGAATAGAGGAACCCTGAGACTACTGCCCTAAGATAACCTTTGAACTTGGTGCTGAAGCCACTCCTGGAAGGTACCTTTCAGTTAATTAATACACTGGCTTATAAAATATTCATTATCACCCATAAGTAACTGTAAAGCAATGAATTACTGACTATGGCTCCTGTAGTCATAGCCTTTGTTACTGCCACCAAAATGACCTTTGTTTTCCTGATGAGTCGGGCTAAGAAGGTAAGGGAAGATACTGACTGAATGCTAGGATTCAGCTGTGAGTGAATGTTAACAGGGTTCATTATGACTGCCATCCTGCTGGGCATAACATCAGCCATTGCAGAAAACGGAGGAGGGAAGCTCACGCCAGGACCAGAGTGTGTCCTTTGGACGCTGAGGTCCTTGCTCATTGAACCTCCTTGTTCAGGAGAAGTTATGACACACCAGAGGAACAGGAACAACGGAAGCAAGAATCAGAGCAAGATTCAGTGGTGGACTTCCCAGCCCCTAGAGCAAGTAGAGCTGAGTGCTTCAGAGCACAGGCCTGGCTTGGGGAGTAGAGTGCCTTCAGGTTGAGGAATCTGTTTGCAGGCCTAAAAGAGCTTTGTAACATTGCCTGAGCAGGGCAAAGGCTGAGCCAAGAGGCTGAGGACCAGAGGCCTGTCCACGGCCAAGGCAAAGAAACTGTCCGAACTAAATAATTATTACATCCTGAGCATTTCTCACCTAAATTAACTTCCCTAACAAACTCCATAATCCCAAATGTCAGCTGTGAGTTCTAAAACCCAGCTGAAAAGTAGTGCTGCTTCGAGAAGGACAATAGGGTTAAGAATGGAGGGTGGAGGCACGTCTGACCTCTGCCTTGTGGCAATCAGCCTTGGAAACCAGAGGAGGTCAGATGTGGGCCCCCAGGCTGTTTCTGCTAAACGTCAGCTATACGAGGCCCAGCAACCAGCATGGCCCCAAAGCAAAGACGAGAAGGCAAGGAGGAGCAGGGAAGCTGTATCAATGGAAAAGAACAAATGGAACCGAAATAAGGAGACTACATACTATTCGGGAGCATGTCAGGCTCTCTGTGGGCTAGTCAAGATCTTTATCAAAAAATATTTATTCAAGTGTAGGACATGATAACGTATGAAGTTTCCAAGAAATGAGATGCCATCTTCAGACTTACACATCTTAAGAGAAATGGGTGAAAAAAAATGGTTTTAAAATAATTGTGTAAAACAGCATTGGGTGTGGGGCGGGGAGGTGCATATATCTGACATCCTTTGCCTAAACCAGTAGTTCTCCACCTTCCTAATGCTGCAACCCTTTAATACAGTTCTTCATGTTGTGGTGACCCCCAACCATAAAATTATTTTCGCTGCTACTTCATCACTGTGGTTTTGTGACTGTTATGAATCGGGCGACCTCTGTGCAAGGGTCATGGGACCACTGGCTAAACAAAGAAGACCCTAACTTCTCACCCCCAGGCCTCAGCAGCTGTCTCCTAGACCCTCCCTCCACCCTCCGTCCTTCTTTCCTCTAACATTCCTCCATACTCTTCCTCTCTGGTGGGTCACAAAGATCCCGTAAAAAACTCACAATTACAGAGTTCTATTAGGAAAGTTACCAGCTTATGATATAGAAGAACGTAATATCCCGATTGGAGGAAGAATCCTATTCCCTAGGAAACAAAGGGTGGTGACGTGGTTCACAACCTCGCCTCAGAATCCATCCAACTTAGTTCTAAATACAAGCTTAACAGAGAACTCTCTCCAAAATGGGACTGTGACCATAAGCATAAAAACTCCACACTCTTCAGTAGATTCCAACTCCCAGGGATCCTATGAGTGAAGTAGAATGACTCATGTAGGGCTCTAAGATGATATATCTTTAGGGGAGTGTGGCTGACGATAGCTTCAAATTTCTGACCTGGCAGTAGCCCAACAACCCACTGCATCATCAAGGCTACAATTACATCACATAGGGGTCTATGGCTAGAAAGGGCATGTTAAGTAACTGACTGCCTATAAGTAATCATCGTAAAGTGACTTTCTAGGCCTAAGACAAACCCTAGAAGCCAAAAGGAAAACTTTGAAACAGTACATAGTGGGGGAAACACTAAGAACCAGGCAAAATAGGCAAAGAAAACCCATGAATTAACACTTTTACAGATAAGTACATATGGGGGGAAAATTCAGGAAGATTATAAAGTTGTTTCTTAAAAATATGCTAATTAAGATAAGTGCAATGCAATTTATCACAGAAATGGCAAAAAAATTTAAGTATGGTTAGTGTGGTTTACAGAAACAAGCATTCATAGAAGTGAATGCTTCAAACAAGTGAATGCTTCAAACAAGCATTCTGAAGTGAAAGTGTGGCACTGCTTCTTGAAATGTTTGTTAAATATGCACAGACATAAAAATCCTATCTCTATAAATTTTTTGTCTTCAAACACACTCTCACAAATCCACAAAGAAGCGGATTCAAAGATTTCACAAAAGCACTGTTCTAATGTTAAAAATCCTAGATGGGATTAAATGTGTATCAATAAGCCTTCAAAATCAAATAAACCATAATCTATCCATAAAATGGACTAACATGTACACTAAAATGGGAAGATGCCCAAAGTATCAATTTTTTAAGAAAAACAATTTATAGGACACATGTATAGAATGATCCCACTTTTATTTGAAAAATAAAAAGATAAAAAAAAATAGCTTAGGCTTACAATGCAAACATATAGGAACTTACCTATATGCACAAAAAATTTCTATAAGGCTATGCAAAAAAAATTAACTCTGGTTATTACCACCACATAGTGGCGGCAGATTGAGGAAGTAAATGAGGAGAGGGCTTCTATTTTTCCTTAACAACTTTCTGTTCAAGTTGAACTTTTAACAATATTTATATGTTAACTTACCATGAAAATTTTAAACTAAAATTTGTAATTCAAAGTATAATACATAAATTGGTATTTGTAACTCTACTAATACATGATACACCTTTTTTAATTGCAAAAAATGTGTTAATCTGTGAGTGGTTTACACTCTGACCTTCCACAAATGTGACAGGTCTTTCTGGACTATCACACGTTGTTTACTTAATTACCTCTGCCATTCTTTTTGCTGTGGTGAAAGATCAAATATTGCCTGAAAAAGAGAAAAATATGATTACTAGCATTGTCAAATGCTCTTGGCTTTTCTATCATAATTTTTTAAAAAAGTTATTTCAGGAGGAAACAAATTGATAGTATCCTTAAAAAAATTTTGTGATTTATATTTAATCATCTATAAAATGAAGATTCAAATCTGACATTTTATTCAAAAATGTCACATAGAAATATCACTAATGACAAATATCTTCCTTAAAGATACATGCAAGTAAGCAAAATGGCATGTTAGATAGTACTTAAAACTAGAAGAAAGGATAAAGGAAACCAGGAATTACAATAAAAATAAATACATAAATAACAAACAAATGTGCGACTCAGTTTCCCAATCACAGCAGTCCTACAGGATGGAGTCCGGCCGTAAAACTGTCCAGAAGTAGACTGCTGCAGCCTTCTCCCAGGGCGAGGCTGATGGGCTCAAGCTGCAGTTTGTGGGGAGCAGCCAAGTGCTTAACTAGGGCTCCCCAGAATTTCAATAATAAATGTGAAAAGAAGGCGACCACAATAGACATTCAGAAAGTGGAGCGAATGCTAGAGAAATAACAAGTATATTTTCAAACATAAATTCAAGATGATAACATAATAATACTTTAAGTCCCATCATAACCAAATTCTCACAATGCCCAAAGAAGCAGACATAATCCATATCATCACTTTAAATTACTTAAATTAGTATCTTTATGTTGGACACTTTCAAGAAAGTATAGACTAAAGATCAAATTGGGAATAAGGCTCACATACAAATTACTCCTGGGCTAGAAAACCCCACGTAAACAGTAAGTAAAGGTGACCTCTCCGATGAGTGCAGGGAAAAGAGATCATGGGAACAGTTTCAGGTGGTCAGTGAGTAACACAGACCAGTGACAGGATGCCACAGCAGCGCTTACTCCCAGCTTAACTGTAAATTCAGCAACAACATTGTTGTCACAACTGACATGAGTACTGATGACAGTCACACCAATTAAAGACGACCTACCCTAGCTACACGGTGGCTGACGAAACAATCAGAGAAGGACATGGGGTACCAAGATGAACCATTTTCAACGCAAACACAACTCTTTCTCCTTTTTAAAAACATCTGAAGCTCGAATCTGATTTAATAGAGGCTGAATATCTAAACTCCCTACTCTTCTTCTTTCTTCCAGGTTTGAATAAAAGGGGGAAAGTGAAGATTATAAACTGACATCAGTCAAAAAAGTCCACTTCAACTCTCAATCCTTTAATGAGGCCCATTGTTTTCCCAACCTCAAGCTAAAGAAGAAAAAAGAGTAAATATAAAAGATTCATTATTCTGAATGAAGTGGCCAATCTGAGGAATTAGAACGAATTTTCCTATAACATTCCTGAAAAGAAAAAGTGTTAATTTTTAAAGTTGTATTTATTCTCTGTGAGATTTAGGATAATACAGACACACACACACCACCACCACCACCACCCACCAAAAAGGGGAATGATCTGCCATAAGTTAGGGATTTAAAAAAAAAAAAAAAAATATATATATATATATATAAAACCACTGAGTGTTAAAATGTAATACAGAAATTTAAAAGAAGATTTAATCCCACTGGATCTAGGTAGTTTCCCAGATCTCAGATGCAAACTTCAAAAGATGAATAAGGAAAGGTACAGAGAACCACCTCATGAAATTCAACATCATATAATACGAATAATAAAAACAGAAAAGGCATTCCTTTGAACATTACTAAAGCAAACAAACAGGCTTAAAAATTCAGATAGTTAAAAATCACCAAGAACCATAAAACATTCAAGGGAATCTGCATTTGGATACAAAGGGTTAATATTTTAATTTCAAAAGTACATGAAAAAAAATCAATCTGGCAAAGCAGGTTCTCTACAAAGGATAAAATTAGGGTAGAAAACAATGAAGCAATGTCTTGAAAGTTTTGAGTGCAAAACAGCAGGAAGCAAGAATTTTATCTTAAACGGATCATTTATTCCTAAGCAAGAAGAGAGAGACATACAAAGTAGCTTCCAAGAGACATACAAAGTGGAGTCCTAAAGTTTGGGAAATACGGAATGAAAAGACAACTGAATTTTCCCCAAAACTTTTTGAAGCCCCCTTGTATGGTCATGCTACAACTCCCCATTGCCATGAAACAGCAGAGCAATGCTTCCCAGGATTTTCTTGGCTGTAATCATTAAGGAAGCACATCAGCAAGCTATTTTACAGAGGTACTTCTGGGCGGGTTCAAGTGGCCAACCTTTAGCTTCGCAGTCTGCAAGCTGCTGTGTCTCCCAGGGACCTTACACTCGTACAAGAGTGCATAAAACAACACACAACATCCTCCTGAAATGAGACCACTCTGAGGTCACCTCTCAGCTGGATAACAGGGCGGCTCATAAAATAAACAATATCACCTGTGAATCCTGCGCAACTTTCCTTACACACCCACCCACGCACCCACACACACAAGCACGCTTAAATGAGACTTTTTAAAGTCCATTTAAAATCCTATTATCTTTTAATTCCATTTTCCTACAAACTTTTTGAAGTGCTCTGTTATAAAAGACCAAATGGTCAACATTTATTCTAAAGCAAAGATGAGGTTAGAGGAGACAAGAAAAATGGATTAATAGAAACTGAACATCTAAGCAGCGGTTCTCAACCTGTGAGTCGTGACCCTTTGGGTGGGGGGGGTCCAACGACCCTTTCGCAGGGGTCGCCCGATTTGTAACAGTAGCAAATTACAGTTATGAAGTAGAAAGGAAAACAATTTTATGGTTGGGGGGTGAGTTAGTTAATTGTGCCAGCCTGGCCGATAATCACATGTGGTGCTGGTTGAAAGGCGGAGGGATAAATGGGTGGTGAAGCCTCGCCTTTCTAGTTCTCGGGTCTCTTGTTTTGTGATGGTTGCACCGGGTGCAGCTGCCTTAGCAGTTCCCTGCTTCAGCTGGCAAGATTGACTTCCTACAAGACATCCCCAAGGAGAAGCCACATGGATCTATCCCGATGCAGCCCTGGGTGCTGGAGCAGCCATGTGGAGACCCCTGCCAGTGCTGAGATGCTTGTTCGTTCACTGACTCAGCTTTCCTCCTGCAGTCGGCATTATTGCCTCTGTTTTGTGAGGTGAAGGACTTTGTGGACTGGTGTTGGGTATGGGTTAATGTTGGACTTGTGGGCTTGGGCAGCACTGGGTTGGGATGTTTTCGTGATGCACATTTTCTTTGCATAAAACTCTCTTATACGTGAGTCGCCATGGATTTGTTTCTCCAAAGTACCTAGACTAATACAGGGGGTCACAACATGAGGAACTATATTAAAGGGTCACAGCATTAGGAAGGTTGAGAACCACTGATCTAAAACTAAACCATGAGAATGTGGATATAATATGAAAAATGGGAGCAATGTGTCACTGACCAATATATATAGGAATTGCTAAACAGGTACAGGATTTATTGGGTAAACTTTTACCCAAAATTAAAAACTTAATTTAAAAACACAGAATACCATTGGTGTTGAGCTAGTTCCAACTCAAAGTGACCCCTAAGCACAACAGAATCAAATGCTTCCTGGTCCTGCACCATCCTCACAATTGTTTCTACGTCTGAATCCGTTGTTACAGCCACTGTGCCAATCCATCTCCTGGGGGCGGGGGTCCTTCCTTTTTCACTAATGTTCTACTTCACAGAGGATGATCTTCTCTCCAAGGATTAGTCTGGATAACACGTTCACAGTATGTGAAACTAAGCCTCACCATCCTCACTTCTAAGGAGCATTCTGGTGGTTCTTCGTCCAAGATAAATTTGTTTGTTCTTCTGGTAATCCATGTACTTTCAATATTCTTCACCAACACTCATCCAAAGCATCTCTTCTCCAGTCTTCTTTATTCCTGTCTAAATTACACAAGCAGATGAGGTCATTGAAAATACCATGGCTTGGGCCAGGTGAACCTTAGTCATCAAAGTGATATCCTTAAAGAGGTTTTGAGGCGATTTGCTCAATGCAATATAACATTTGCTCTCTTGCCTGCTGCTTCCATGAGCCCTGACTGTGGATCCACATAAAATGAAATGCTTGACAATTTCAGCCCTTTCTCCATTTATTATAACATAATGGTGTCTACTGGTCCAGTTCTGAGGATTTTGGATTTCTTTATGTTGAGTTCTAATTCATACTGAAGGGTGCAATCTATGATCTTCATCAGCAAGTGCTTCGAGTCCTCTTTACAGCAGCCAGGGTTCTGTCATCGCCATGTCACAGGCTGTTAACGAGCATTCATACAATCCTGCTATGTTCTTTATGTAGGGCACCTTCTCAGATTATTAGCTTAGTATACAAATTGAATAAGTATGATGAAAGGATACTACTCCCCAATGGGCACTTTCCTGAATTTAAATCAATGTTTCCTAAAGTGGGTGATACTGCCACTTGGGGATGGGGAGAGGGGGCACGGGAACATTCCAGGGGGGTGGGACTGCAAAAGCAGCCACCTACACTTTATTCTGGACTATGGGTTACACTACAAAAATTCTTAATTGCATGCTCACCTTCCCGACACAACCGCTGAAGACAAAGCGGGTGAATAAGCAAATGTGGTGAAGAAAGCTGATGGTGCCCGGCTATCAAAAGATATA